ATCTATAGTATCCTGTTTAGTTATCTTATGTTTGAGGACAAAAAAATTGGAAAATAGTTTAAGTAAACATTTTATTTTTTGAGTTAGCAATTAAAATTTGTTCAAAAGATGAATATTAATATTTGAGTATTAAATTATAGTAACTCATGAATTCTAAGTTCTTTACAGGAATCCAATGTGTGAAGATAGAAATTATTAAAGCAGTTTTATAATAGTAAAACAAAGCAAGGAGGAATAAATATAAGGTGAGGCTGTAAAGATTGTTAATCTCCTTGTTTGAAAGCAAGATGACTAAAAGAGGTTTTTTATTATCCCTGAGATGACTTCTAAAAGTGTATCTGTCCTATGAAATGTTCTTTTCTTGTACAAAATTTATTTATTGTGTGTTTTCAGATGTTTTAGCATTGTTTCCTTAGAACGTAGCTCTTTAAAAAGCATAAACTTTAAAATAGACTTTTCTTTAGAAATTCAGAGTTGAAAATCTTGTGGTGTGTATATATTTATACCTAGAAATCTGTTTCTTTATTTTGAATGAATAAAAGATTGCCAAAGATACAGTATAAATCCTCATTTTCCTTTTTTATTATTCTGGTGCCTGGTATATACTCTTTTTAAGTTTGTGGACATGATTAGTTTCATTCATTGACTGTTGATTCCCTCTTGAGTATAAAAGGTACTAGTCTTAAAAATTAATAACCCTCAATCTTGGCTCAACTGTCTAATTTATGTTTGGGCAAATCATTTGGTTTCTTTGCCCCTGGTTTTGTAGCCAGAAAGTGGGAATAAAAGTTATGTTCCCTACCTTCAACCTATGGAGGGACATTAGATAAGCATCCCTATTCCTGCATTCCATGGTTCCTACTTCATGGAAAAAATGAAAACTGTTATTTACTCAAGGGTGAACTTTTTTCAGAGTTCTACTCTTTTCTCTCCTGGATGCAAGTTCATCCATATTTGTACCTGTTCTTATCCCATGTGGATGAGATGTATCTATTTAAGGTTACTCCTTCCTTCCTTCCTTCCTTCCTTCCTTCCTTCCTTCCTTCCTTCCTTCCTTCCTTCCTTCCTTCCTTCCTTCCTTCCTTTTTTAGAGAGAGAGAGAAAGAAAATTTTAATATTTATTTTTTTTAAGTTTTTGGCAGACACATTTTTGTTTGTATGTGGTGCTGATGATCAAACCCGGGCCACACGCATGCCAGGCGAGCGCGCTACCGCTTGAGCCACATCCCCAGCCCTTAAGGTTATTCCTTTCAACACTTTACTTTGACTTTATCACATTAGCTCCACCCTTTTGCAGAACATTACTGCATTTGCCATTTTTGATTTAGATTTTCCCCTCTTTACAATGTAGGCTTATACATAAAACATCAATAATTCTTAACTTCATCTTTCCATATTATCCTTCTGAAGTAACTAATGTTGGTTGTGTCTGTTCATTTTTAAACACTGTATATATTTTCTGTCTATAAATGTATTTTCCCCTTTTTTAATAAAAAAATTGAACTATAAAATATGTATTACTGTACAATTTACTTTCTGCAGCTTGCTTTTGTTCCCTAAATATCTCACGGAAATATATTTAATTATTATTTTTGGCAACTGTATGATATTTCATAGAATGTATATGTAAATATTTAACATTTTACTTTTTGATTGCTATTCACATTCTTTCTGATTTGCTGAAGTTAATAAAGTTTTGTGCTTGCTCATATTTCTGATGTATTTGAGCTTTTGTTTTAATTGATAGATTTTTAAGAGAGATAGTGCTAGATCAAGGGGCATTCATATTTAAAATTTTGATACTGTGAAATTACTTTTCAAAAAGATTGTAGTATATTATCCTGCAAAAGCAGTGTTTTGTCTTACTATTCTCCCCAAAGTTCTGATGGTCTCTTTGCTGCATTAATTTTCATTTCCCTCAGTATTATCGAAGTTAAATATGTATTGCTAATTGTTTCCTGTTATATAAATTATCTGTTAATATCCCTAAGCCTAGTTTTGTTGGCTTGTTCTTTTCTTAAATGGTAGGAACTCTTTGTTGTAGGATCATTATCTCCTTGACCCATGTTAGGAATATCATTAGTATACATACATTTAAAAAAATTTTAAAAGACACCTTAGCCATATTGAGTTAATTATGTTTTGGGTAGGGGATTGAACCCAGAGACACTTTATCATTGAACTACATTCCCAGCTCTTTTTAAAAATTTTATTTTGAGACCAGTCACACCAAGTAGGGGAGGCAGGTCTCCAACTTGAGATCCTTCTGCCTTAGGCTTCGAGTATCTGGGATCATAGGCATTTGCCATTGTGCTTGGCCATATTGGGTTATTTTGAAGCAACTTTTTGAGTAGGAACCTTTCCTACTATTACCAGTCATCATAGAGTTCTTTTGCTTAATTTGGGACAGGAATCAGGAAATGACAAAGTACAGCTAATTTTGGGCTTATTGGCTGTTCGTGTTAACAGACTACTTTTGCTCAATTCAAGAAAAAGATCATAAAGGTGGGGCTGGGATTGTGGCTCAGCAGTAGAGTGCTCGCCTAGCACATGCAAGGCCCTGGGTTCAATCTTCAGCACCACATAAAAATAAAATAAAGATATTGTGTCCAACTACAACTAAAAAATAAATATTAAAAAAAAGAAATCATAAAGGTAAGCAATAACACCCAAACAAGGCTTTATTCCTGTGCAAAAGGAAGACAGTGCACAAAATAAGACCCTGAACTGCTATTTGAGGAGGTAAGAAGCAAAGCTTATATAGACAAAGATTGTGGGCTGGCACAGACACACAGTCTGCCCTTGCACACAATCTCAGAAGTTCTGTACATTTTTGGTCAGTTCCTTGCCGTCAGCACCAGGGTTGCACTTGACATGGTGATTTGCATGTGTGCATTGGGTTTCTCAGTGCTCAGCTCATAAAAGATAGCCTTACTCACTTCCACCATCCAGGAAAATCATGTATAGGTCAAGTTCAGGCCTATTAAACATGTATAGGGTTGTTGAAAAGCTTAAGGGAGGAGTCAGCAGCTCCAGAACCTGGAACCTAATGATTAATGGAAACAATATTTTAAAAGCAACTCGCTTTCAGTTGGAAACCATGAAGGGGCAATTAGGGACCTGCTCAGTCCTGCTCAGTCTTACTATCAGACACTCAGTTTTACTCTGAAATTAATCAGGACAATGTGATATTGATATAGGCAACCACAGCAAAATAGAGTGCTCAGGAACAAATGAGTGTGTTTGGAATCTTGAAGTATGAGGAGAGGACATCTTAATTGAATTGGGGGAAGAATGAACTAATTATTTTAGATAATACACTCTTTATAAGAAAATAGTCTTTACAATTTTACCAAAACATTAAGTCAGTCAAATAAATGATCCTGGTTGACAGATGAGGCTCTTTCTTTTAAGAGCCAATAGTAGCCTCTCTGCTTATTCCTGTTAAAATATTTATAGTATACTGAAATTGCCCATTATTTGTGTTTTCTTTTCTATAACATTGTAGATTCCTGGAAGGCAGGGAATTTTGTTGTACACCCATTGAATAAATGAGATGTAGGTACTTTTATAAATATCTGTGGAATTAGTAGATGTGCTTAGTTATTTATTTCTCCATTTTTCTATAGTCTAATTTCTATTGTCAAGAAAAATTGTTTATATGATAAATTGTTTTTATGTTAATAAAAATTTGTTAGCTTGTTCTAAAGGTAAGAGTGGAGTTTTTTAAACACTAGACCTAGTAAATAAGTAAGCCATAAGATAGGATTTAAAATAGAGTTTTCTTAATTTTCAAGACTTTAAATATAGGAAATTTGCTTCTTTGGTTTAACATACATTTTTTTGGGAGGGTGCTGGGGATTGAACCCAGGGCCTTGTGTATGAGAGGCAGGCACTCTACCAACTGAGCTATATCCCCACCCCTAACATATCTTTTTTTATGCTTATAATTTTTGTGTATAGTAGTAAAAAGGATTTAATTTTCTCAAGTTTCTTTAAATTGAATTGTCAATTCAGTGATAACCATGTAATAAAATTAGTTTTTTATCAAGTCATTATAATTGCTTAAATAACTTCTATTTACTAGCCTTCATGCTAAGTGATATACCCATATACACATGTATATGTAATACATATTTAAAAGGGAGTCTAGAAGATAGCATAAAGCTATGACATCATCTGAAGTCTAACAACCTAGCGAAACCAGTAAACATGTTGGTGTATATTCTTTATTGTTTGTTTTTTGGCGTGGATACTTCCCCCCTCTTGCCCCCAATTAAGGTTCATATCTAAAAATAATTGGCTGCTATTTACATACACCTGAGAAAAGTGCATTCTGATATTTGTACTCCATCAGAAATGGGAAGTGAAACACATGATGGAAATTGTATTCCATATCATAGTGGTTTTCAATCCATTGACTGGTACTGGCTATATAGTAAAGTTCTTACTGATCCAAGGTCAAATAAGGAAATTGTAGTGATGATGAATAGTAATATGATTTTTTTTCAACACATATAGTGTCCTATATTCTGAGTGTGTTTTTGGAGAGTTAAAATGTTCAGTCTTGTGTGAAATGTTGGCAAAGGTTGGTCCATTGTAGGTAAAGATGATGAACATATTACTTTGTAAAGTACAACAACAACAAATAGTAATTCTATGTTGTTCTCTGCTTCCTTTTTTATATATATWTTTTTTAGTTTTAGATGGACACAATGCCTTTATTTTATTTGTTTTTATGTTTATATGGTGCCAGGGATCAAACCAAGTGCCTCATGCATGCTAGGCAAGTGCTCTACCACTGAGCCACAACCTTGGCCCTCTGCTCCAGATTTTAAGAATGTTATTTCAGTGCTGTATGAAATTTAGAAACATTTATAATGACTACTGGTGATCATCTTATATACTTCTTTTTAATTAACCATATAAGTAATTAACATTGTATATTAATTTCTCATGCTTACTAGTTATTGAGGTCATTTTATGTTTTTTATTCACAGTACCTGGTTATGGATTATTATGTTGGTGGGGATTTGCTTACTCTGCTCAGCAAATTTGAAGATAGATTGCCTGAAGATATGGCTCGATTTTACTTGGCTGAGATGGTGATAGCAATTGACTCAGTTCATCAACTACATTATGTGCACAGGTAAGTCAGTCCTTTGTTGCATCTGGCTATGAGTTACCATGTAATATCTACAAACTGAAGTATTTTTCTACAAAATTTATTAATTATGGTCTTAGATGCATTGCTCATGAACCAAAATAGTTGATTTTGCTTATTTTGTTGTTATCATTATTTAATCAGCATTACTGAATAGATGTTCCTGCTTATACATAAATTATCTGTATAATATCTAAAAGTACCTACTTAGAGTCAGCATTTTTGAGAGAACACTTCTAAAAACACTTATGTTAAATTTACTTATGATTTCCTTTCTAAAGGAGTATGCATTGGCCAGTTTCCTTGCATTCATTCTTATGTATTAATCATAGCTGAAATTCTAGGCCATAAATAATAGTTTCATTTGTTAAGTAAGACTCATGTTATATAGTGTGTTTCTCAAGAAAATACTTTCAAGACTCATATAACCATCAAAAGAGATAAACATTTCTTTCATAGAAAATGGCAGTTTTTATGTTCATGGAATGATTTCATTATAAGCTGTTTGATAGATAACAGTTTATTAAAAAAATTCTCTACTATTGTGTGTTATATTGTACAGGATAGAATGAAAAGAAAAATGTAGGCCTGTTTACAGAATGGTTTTTACACAGAATTGTTCTCATGCTTGTTGACATAAGTTAAAAATCCCTTTCTCCCTAAATAGCTTATAATGATTTATGGATAATAAATAATTAGAAACATTTTATGGTTTAAAGGAAAGTAGGAAATCATCACAGAATTATTGGTGAATTAATCATTCAAATGAGATAAATCATTGGTTATGCTAAATGTGAAAAAGAGAAGGATTAGGAAATAGGTAAAGGGTTATTGCTGTGTTAGGAAACAGACAATTTATAAGTCACTGATTTTCAAACTTCAGCTTGCATCAAGAGTCCTGGAGGGCTTGTTAAAATCCAGATTCTTGGGTGAACTCTTGAATTTTTAACTTGATAGGTTGCATGGGATGGGAATTAGCATCTCTGGCGCAGCTGCTGATGGGAGTGGTGCTGGTGGTGCTGGTGCTGGTGCTGGTGGTGCTGGTGCTGGTGCTGATGCTGGTGGTGCTGGTGCTGCTGCTACTGCTGATTGAATAATCTCACTTTGAGAACACTTCTAGGGTAGCAGGGAATATTTCTTTTATGTTCTCTGAGAAGAACATGTATGTGGAAGGAAGATGAAGTTTCTGTTTCAGTGTTTTTTAAGATATGATTTTTAAAAAAATGTTGATTGGTTTAATTAGTAATGAACTTCTGGGGACATTAATAAAGGAAGACTATTTTTATTTAAAAAATTCTATTTGGGCTGGAGGTGTTGCTCAGTGGTAAAGCAGTTGCCTAGCATGCATGAACATGGGTTCTGTTCCCAACACCTGCCCACTGCCCACACACAGTTAATTGATATCAATTTGGCTTTTGCCTATTTGTATGTTTTTCTCTGTTGGTATCTGGTAGTCACAAATTTTTACCAAAAATAAAGACAGGAAGATGCTTAAAAAAATGGTATTATGGTCTCAAAGAGTGAATTACAGGATGAGGAACTATAATGCTTTTTTGTTGCCTAAACAATAATTCAGTTTCCTAGCTGAGGACTATTATTTAAATATATGAAAATATCATTTTATTGAATCCTTACAGAATATTGGTTACTAAATAATCATGGAGTCATAGACTAGAGGAGTTTAGAAAAACTTGACCCAGTTCATGTCTACATTCTTGATGAGGAATGATTGTTTCTGAAAATTATTCCTCTAGTTTGAGGATACTAATTATGAGGTATTTGTGATACTCCGTATTCTTCCAGGCTTGTGACAGATTCTTAAGTGATCATAGCACCCTTTTTTACTGAGGGTATTCGTAGTGTTATAATTCTTCTCAACATAGCATTTTAGGTAACAGCTATCTTTCTGATATTGTCATGTGGATTAAAAACTGTATCAACACTGAGTTCTGCTTAGGTGCCTTTAATTTTAAAAGGTACCTACTGTTAAAATGAATCCTCTTTATTCCATTGTTGAGTGGCTCTGATGATATTATAGAATTCTATGTTATCGTCACTTAGAAAGTTCTCACACTCTCCAAAGCCTTTCTTCAGGCTAAATTTCTAAATATCTATGGTTTTCCTGTTATCAGAATTAGTATACATATTCTTTCTTTCTTATCCCTCACATATTCCATGCCCACTCCCAAGTTGTTTTGTCCTCTGTCTTTACCTCTTTCTTTACCTTTTAGTGGATGTTCCAGTGTGTTAATACACTTTTAATGTTTTCAAAATGTGTTTCCAATTCTCTGAATAGACTACTTCCAACTAAGACTTCATTGAGGAAATATTTATTGATTCTTCTTTTGTAAAGAGCATAGTGTTAAAACATGTGGAATAGTAAATAGGTATGGTGTAGTCCTGACTTTTAAGAAGCTACCAGTCTGTTTAGAGACATAAAATGTAAGACAGAAATAAAAATTTAAATAAATAATCACTTAAGACAAAAGTGTAAGAGATGTAGTGAGTTCAGGCTGTGAATTGCTAAATGAATTATATGAGCAAATTACAGTCAGCCAAATTGGGATAACAAATTTAGTTCTGATGGTTAGTTAATTCTACTTTGTTCCATGGACTTTACCTATATTCTAACAATAATTCTGTTATTTAGATATCATCTAAAAATGGCTATTGTTCTATTTTATAAATGAGAAAACCAGACTCAGAGACATGAGTCAGTAAATAGCATGGCCTAGATGAAAATCTAAGTCAGCCTTACTCCAGGATTCATGCTCTTTGCATAACATGTTTTCCTAAACTTTGATGGATGAGAAGACTATGTGTTGGCAGAGAGGAAGGCATTCTCAATATACATAAGAGAAAAGTAGGAGCACATAGGCAAGAAAAGGCAGTTTTGAAGAAAACTAGTTTGGCTAGAAAAGAGAGTTCATGTTGAATTTGATAGGATATTTATTTGTAATTCAGATTTGGCCCTTATCATAGAACATGTATCATGTTATTGATCTTTCAGGAGCTAATAAGCTACCATTGATTTCAGGTAATAGAGTGTTTGGTGGTTTTAGTTTAGTTTGTTTTTGGCAAGCTGCCTGTCATAAAGTTTTATGAAGTTTTCTAAATATTTTATAATTTATGAACTTCACGTGGGAGTTAGAGAATATAAGAAAGGAATAGTAGGGACAGGATATATTTAAGGAAGGAAATACTTTTGTTTTTCATGTGTTCTTTAAGGATAAATTTATTTACATACTTATTTATAAAACTACATTATAGATATTCTAATAGCACAAAAACTTCAATAAGAAATTTGCTAAAAGACTTATCAAGAGATAAATGAGCAATAGAAAGTAGCAAAACTGAGAAGTATAAAGTTCTTAAAAAATCCTCCTTTCCCCACTCCCACACATGTCCATTTTCAATATCCCTCACCAGAGTTGTTATAGTTGATGAGTCTACATAGATAAATCATAGTCACCGTAAGTTTATAGTTTATATTAGGATTCATTCTTCATGTACATTCTGTGGTTTTTGGCAAATGCAGAATGACATCTGTGTACTTCTATATTATTATAGATGGTAGTTTCACTATCCTAAAAGTCTTCTGTGCTCCTTCTGTTCATTTCTTCATCCCCTCTAATCCTTTTTTTTAAATACTAGCTCATAATTAATTGTAGGGATTCTACAATTATGTGGAAATGTACAGGGAAGCATTCCCCTGGCGAGAAAACTCCTGGGGAGGGGGCTGGGTAACAGGCACGCTGTTTCCCACCCTTAGAATGCCCTGCAATCTTTCTTAGGATCTAATAATATAGCTAATATATGTGCAGTGTCTAGCTGGTATGGCAATGCCCTGAGAAGCCTCTGTGTTATTGCCTCATCAAGTCTCGACCTTGTATGCAGGCACATAGCTCCTAGGAATAAAGGAACTTGCTTGATAACTACAATGATTGACCAAGCTCTGGTGCTTCTGGATCTGGCCACCTGACAGAAACTTCAGACAATGGACTTTCTTGAGAACTACCCAAAGATCCTAACATTGCTTATTGTAATTGTGAAATATTACTGCAAAATAAGCAACCTTACTGATACTCTAAACAATATTGTAGTTATGGTACTAATGACCTAATATAACCTATTGATATAAATAAATGTGGCTGCTTGGACAAGGAGTCACTCTGCCACTTTCCTGCCTCTGTACCTTGTTTCTGTCTACTCTTTATTATTATCCTTACACATAATTTTGCCTATTCTAAAATGTCATATAGTTGAAATCATACAGTATGTAACCTCTTTAGTTAGCCTTTTTCACTTACCAATATGCATCTAAGCGTCATCTTTATCTTGTTGTGACTTTAGAGCTCATATTGTTTTAGTTAATAATATCCCATTGTCTAGATATATACTAGTTCATTTGTTCATTTACCTACTGTTTAGTCAGCTTTTTCACCACTGTGACTAAAGGACCCGACCAGAACAATTGTAGAGGAGGAAAGGTTTATTTAAGGGCTCACAGTTTTAAAAATCTCAGTCTATAGATAGCTGGCTCCAGTCCCCAGGGTTTGAAGTGAGGCCCAACATCATGGAGGAAGAGTGTGGCAGAGGGAAGCAGCTCATATGGTGATAGGGAAGCAGAGAGATTCCACTCTCCACACCCCAGTAGCCACACCCCCAATGAACTATTTCCTCCATCCACACCCCACCTGCCTCCTGTTATTACTCAGTTAATTCCATGAGGGATTAATTCACTTATTAGACTAAGGCTACAACTCAATCATACCTCATATCCAAACCATAACACCTACCAAGAGACATGGTGATTGCCTTCAGGGTTTTAAAAATGTTATCATTATTGTGTTATAATCTTCCAAGTTTTGACAGTTATGAATAAAACTGATTTTATGAGATTCTGTTTTCTCTCTTATTATCCATATTATCTACCTTTAAAACTTTTTAGTGATTGTCTTTGAGCTTGAAATTTCTATGTGGAA